CACGGCAGGCCCTAGGCTGGGCCTCTAGGAATAATTACTGGAATACCACCACTTAAACTTGTCTGCTAAGGGAACTGCTACTTGTGCCTCCGTCCTGAAGCCAGGGAACCAGGAAGCCAGTTTCGCACTGTCTCAGCTGCATGCTCCAGGAACACATCATTTGAGCCAAATCTGATGATCAGGAATCCATAGCCACAATTGTTAGTACCAGAGCTATCTGCTGCACCGGCTAGAACTGTACCAGCAAAATGGATGCCTTGCCCCCCCACCCCCGCTCTCCAATTGGTGGAATCTAAATCATACCTAGAACCCTAGCTGCAAATGGGAAACGTAGCTCTCAACTTCCCATCTTCTACAGAACTGGACTAACAAGTAGGAACAAATACTGAGCAGGCCAATCCACTCTGAAATATATTAGCAATTGAAATTGTATTTATCCCAAAAAGTGATTTTTGACATTGTTTAAGTTACAATATATTCTTTGGTTTGGCTTTCCCTCTATGGTATTTTATTTTATTTTTTTATGTGTTTTTCTAAGTAGGTTCCACGCCCAGCATGGAGCCCAATGCGGGGCTTGAACTCATGACCCTGAGATCAAGACCTGAGCTGAGGTCAAGAGTCGGATGCTTAACCGACTGAGCCACCCAGGCGTGCCCCCCTATTGTCTTTTAATCAGCGTTTACCAAAGCTGTAAAAACCAAAGCTGTAAAACTACTCAAGAACATGTACCTTGCTCCCTCTGCTCTAGCTAGGTTCATTTGAATGGTCATGCAAGGCTGTTCTGTGTACATTTGGCCTGTGCTATTCCCAATACAAGTGATGCCTTCCCAATCCCCTGGTCTAAATCTACCTGTTTTTAGACATAGTTCAAATCCTAACTTTGTAAAACCTTAGCTGATTGCTCCAGGCTCCATTTTTTTTTCCTTCCTTCCTTCCCTCCTGCCTGCTTGCTTGCCTGGGCGTTCTGTAAGTCTGTATGAATGTATATCTCCGAAATCTTTCTGGATTTATTCTTTGTTCTGCCATATAGTTGGGTCTCTATCATGCAGATATTTTATGGTATACTGTCACTTTATATGGGATGGTCTTGCTTGCTTAAATAGGGTGTAAGCAATGTAAGGCTAGATGAGTTTCTCTGTATCTTCTCCTTTGATATATAACACTATGAAGAGTAGAAACTTAAGTCTTTATGTTGGTACTCTTGGTAAATAAAATGTACCAATCAGCATACCGAGATAATGCTTGCTTAAGAAGACCTCACAAGATTGTGGTAAAGGACCAAAGTTATGTTCTGTGCGGATAAAACTTTAATTTGTAACCCATCATAAATGTTGAGAGATTGTAATTATGGTTGGGCTAACATCAAGATCTTCACACAATGACCCTGTTAGGCCTTTTCATTAATTGTATTCTCTGATAATGGCCTCGGTATTTCAGTGAAGGTGTCATTCTTTGCTTCTTGAACTCAAACCTGCACTTCCTGCCCATGCCGTTGACCATGTTCTCCTTCACTGGGAAGTCTCAGCTCAGGCCCCATCTCCACCCATCAGTTTCTTGTCTGCCAAGCAGGGTGACTGTCCAGAAGTAAAGGGTTGGGTGTCAGTTTATGGCACAGTCCAGCAGATAAGCAAGCATTTGCAGCGATTGTGTTGACCCGCATTTACTATCTCGGCGTAACTCAGGATAGGAGATCATATCTTGTTAAGCAAAAAAATATGTGTTAAAAACTCTATGGTATGATTTTCATTTTTGTAACTGCATACCTGTTTTTTATTTGTACTCTTTTCATTTTACAGATATTTATTGAGTGCCTACTGTGTGCCAGGCATTATATCTATGTGCATAGAAAGGCCCTGGAAGGTCATACTCCAGTGTGTGTGTATATATATATATATATATATATATAGCGATCGTCTCTGTGTGCTGACCTAACAGGTGACTTTTTTCTGTTTACTTGTGTCCCCCTTCATTTGCAAACATATATTTTCTAATTTTTCTACAAAGCTTGTATTATTTATTAATAAGGAGCTAATATGTTTTTTAAAAACATTTCTGTTCTCCAAAATGCTTATAATGTAATGCTATGTGAAGAAAAGTAGGTTCAAAACAGTCTAAAGTGCCAGTGTTAAAAAAAAAGAGAGAGGGAGCAGAGGGGGGGAGGGATAGTGAAGAATAGAGGAGAGGAAATACATCAGAGTCTAACAGTGGCCCAGTTTGGGGCAGTGGGATCTTTTATACAAGGCCTGTTCTAATGATTCTATGGTGAGTATGTATTAGTTATGGAATAATAAAAAAAATTTCTTTCTCAAGGACTGGTTCAAATGTGACTTTCCTATGAAGCTGCCTCAGATTCCCGAATTTGACTTTTTAAACTTTGAAATCCCTCATTTTTGGACCTCAATAAATAGATGATGAATTGAATAGAGAGGAATTTCTAAGTGTGGCCTCAGCTTTGGTGAGAGGTGTCACTAACTTTGTTAACTTAACCCATCCTGCAGTTTTGATTTTCAAGAATGAGTTAGATTTCAGAAAGGTTATTTCATAACAATAAGAATGTATTCTTAAAAAAAAGGGGGGGGATATTAGGACACAGACAGCAGCAAGACCATGTGAGGACACAGAGAGAAGGCAGAGCCATCCACAAGGCCTCCCAAGAAACAAAACTTGCTGACTCCTTGCTCTTGGATTTATAGCCTCCTGAACTATGAAAAAAACTTTCCTGTTTAAGCCAAAGGAAAAAACATTTTTTCTGTGTGATTAACTTAGTGCTGTTATTTGCCTAATACTGACATAATTTTAGTGGCCAGGACATCCTCTGTTCTTTTTATGCTTTTGCCTTTTTGTCCATTTATGTAAATGACCATATATGTATATTATTTGTACACACACATACACACACATATATATTGATACAAAAGTTGAGATTCAAACAGTAGATTCCAGATCTATTATGAGTCAACCTTTCCTCTCCTCAGAAAATTTTTGTCCGGTGTCCTATTTCCTACCAGTCTGTAGAGAGGAAAGGACTCAGCCCAAACTGCAAACACCATCCACTGAATCACCTTCCCACCAGCCCCGTCGTATCACTTCAGACTGTGAGGAAGCTGTCCAGGAGAGAGCCAGTGTGGCAAGACTGCTGGAAATTACCCAGTCTAGCCCATCTAGGCAGCTTTAAGGCGGCCAACAAGTAAGAGTGCGTGTTAGCGCACTGCAACTTTTGTCGAGTAAAGACAGGTTGTAAACCCTGCTGCTGTGTGAAGGCACTGAGAACAGTTAGACATGGCCCGGTTGCTAGCACTACCACCCTGGCTAGAAGAATCAGCCCTGAGCCACCAGATTTGCCTTTGCCTGGGAGACAGGGTGCTCGACTCTCCCTGCCCTGGCTTCCTGCCCTCCAGGAGAGGCCCTGCCTGGCAGGAAGGTGAGGCTCCCAGAACCTGAGGTATTAGGAAGTATTTTCTTTCTTTCTTTTTTTTTTTAAAGCCCATCTTCCCCAGTGCTCAGTGAGAGTGTCTTCACCAGCAGGGGACAGAGATGCCCCCCTCTCTCTGGGGGTGTGTAGGAAGCTCCAGGCCCCCACTTCAGGATCCATTTAACATGGCCCCAGATGGCGGGGGCAGTCTCTAGCACACCCAGGGCCACAGGTTTAAAATGTTCTGTAATTGGCTTTTTCTCCAGGATATCCCATTCATGCCTGGTTTTTAGGTTTTTCCCCATCCCCTCATTTGGGGGTCCAGACTCAAGAGGACAGACACAGGGGAAGGGCAGGCACTAGGGGTCCCCGGCATTGGGGGAGTCTCCCTATTGGAAGTTGTAAAGGATCCTGGAACCAGGGGAGTTTCATGCTAGCTAGGAGTCTATATGAACAAAAAGGAATACTGTGTGGCCTGGTTGTGGGAAAGAGAAGAATAAAAGTTCTAAAAAATTAATCATTCTAAGGTACTGTCTATGTGTCCTGAAAATTGTATCAATTAGCACAACGCTTCTTGGGATATCCTAGGATGCTTAGCTGGGCACATTAGAGTTTGGACTCTTCACCAGACTACAGTCAGCTTATGGAATTCAGGATCAGACAAAATACCATCCAAAGGGGTTTGCCATTGGAGGTAAAAAGAAAAACTTATTGGTGTTCTACTTCATTCCGTGGTCCCCATCCCCTCACCTGAGCTGACCCCGGTGGGGCTCCTGTACCTACACAGGCCTTGGTTTCCAAGTTGTATCTAGCTCGTTTTGGTTGCCACCTGCGTCTTAATTTGTGATGCTGTGTGTCTGTAACTTTTTCCCCCCTTATATACCATTGAAATCTAAGTCCCAGTCATCCGCGTTGGGGAGACTATGAACTCTGCAAGTCTTTCGTTTCTGGAGAGGAAATACAGTTTTAGGTGGATTAACCTAAATCCCCTGAGTATGGGTTTTTAGTTCCCTAATTCCCTGACATAGAGTGATTTCATTGAAGAGATTGATTTAATCTCTTGCAGTTGATGGATAAAGTGTTTGCTAAATTTCAAACCACAGATTTGTCCTTTGCTGCTTGACCTCCAGGTTGCGTGGTTGATCTGTCATGATGTCGTTTATTGAGGATTCGCATCTTTATCAAACTGGGATTGCTAAATCCGCGGTGCTCTTGTGTCTGTGTCGTCTGTACACGTTCTAAGTGTGCCCTGTGATCGGATGCATTACAATAACTGCATCACTTTCAATTTAAACACACTCATAAAAGGCATCTATATTGCCCGCAGTTGACGCGGTATTCCTATTGACATGCACACGATGATGGGACAGGACTCATTTTTGTAGTTAAAATGGAGGGAGATTTATAACAGGCATAAAATTTAGAGATAAGCCTTTATCACTTGATGTACAGAGATCGCCTTAATGCACTGGATGGCAAGATGGATAAGTTATCAGTTAAGTTAACTCTCTGTTTACTTGTAATAGTTTATCTTTCGTTGATGGTGATAGTCATATGTTTAATTATTTTTCATTGTGTTGTGTTCTAGGGGTGTCAAGCTTATATTTTTGCTGCTATCCATTTGTAATACACTCAGAGCAGAATTTGGACTAATTTTTTGACTACGGATACTTTGTAAACATGATGCATTTCAAAAGTGGACTTGAATTAACAGAGTTGCAGAACATGACAGTGCCAGAGGATGATAACATTAGCAACGATTCCAATGATTTCACTGAAGTAGAAAATGGTCAAATAAATAGGTGAGTATTTTTCCGCTAATACTCTCAATCCCATGAAAGAAATGTCTCTCAAATATTATTCTGGTTTTCAGTTATTCTCCTGAATTATTCATGACTAAAGTTATGCTCCATTTGAAGACGTAATTTGAATTTCTTATGTGACATCTGTTGGGCACAGTCTGCAATAGCAGATGAAGCAAATAGGAAAGCAATTTATTCATCCTTTCAAATCTTTCAATTGAGTCTAATAAAAATACATAAATACACTGGACCCCAACAAGCCCTAACTTTTCAAAAGCTCTGTGCTTGTGAATCAGACAGACTGCTGGAATTGCGCCGCATGCCGTATGGGAGCGTGTACTACAGTCATCTGCCCTAACCCACGTTGTCACCCACCAACGGTCAACACCCCCTTTGCCAATGATCCCATTTCAAAACTACAAGTACAGCATTACAAGCATCATTTGTAACATGAATTTTAAATAGTAATAACCAGAGTTGGGCCCCAGTGGCTCTCTTGAGAAACTATAGTAGAGAATTAGTACATGAAACAGAAAGAAAAGATAGCATGAGTCAGGGGAGGTAGGTGGGAGGCAGGTGGGAAAAATCGTTCCGCCAAGCTCTCAGCCCCAGCCGTGTCCTCAGCAGGTCCTTGCAACTCTTGGGTCCTGTGTTTCTTAAGTTAGAAGAGTAGGAACAATGTCTTTTTTTAAAAAGTGATCTGGGGCATTCTCTGACATGACGATTTTGTAGCCAGGGTATGCGGGTCATCTCACAGGAAGCTCTCCAGCTTGGGATTCGGTGATGTGGTTGCTGTAAAGCATGTAACCCCTGAAAGGCCAGGAGAAGAGAGTGGAGTAGACAGGACCACTTGTTAGAACGCCAACGATGTACACATTTGGGGGGTGGTCAGAAGGAAGTTGGGATGGGGGAAGATGAAAACATATGTCAGCTAACCAGGCATCTCTGTGGACATTGTTTCTGGAAATCTGCTCTACGTTCTGATATGGTGTCCTATTGGAAGTCCAGCAGAGGACTCCGCTGCCACCATTTACCAACTCAGAAGAAGTTCCAGTCCTGCCTCTTCTCCCTTTTCCCTTCCTTAAATGTTCTTAGAGGTGAAGTGTGCCACCCAGACATTTCCTCAGTATCACCCAAGTACCATTCACTGTGTTGGGATATGTCTTATTGTTAGACTCAAATTTGCTTCTTGCACCCTTTCTGAGTAATTATCAATAATAACTACCATTTCTTGAATGTCAGGTGTTTTTACATATATTACTGTTTTTCCTTATGACATGCAAAACTTTCTTTTGCAAATAAGGAAAATTTAAAAATGCATTTTACGAATAAGGAAGCCAAGGCTCAGAGAAATAAAATAACTTGCCCAGGGGCACACGCAGGTCTGTAGAAATACCTGTCTTTCTGCTCTATCCTGCTGCCTCCAACTATAATGCTGGGGCATTGAAGAAAAAGAGAGTCTTTACTAATTTTATTAAAATACCAGTGCTATTTTAAGCTCTGTACACCCAGAGTGTTCTGCAGTCACTGCTGACCTCCACTTAACAGTGGATGGGGGTCTAACCATCTCACAAGTAGGACATTTTGGTTGTATAATGAAGCTTCATTCCCGAAGCAGTGCAAACCTTTGAGGACCTTAAAATGAGTCATTATACTGTTCCGTTTAGAATCTGAACTTGATCTTTAAAAGTTGTACTTACTAAACTAGGTTTTTGAGGGGATTACAGCTTGCACTAGCTGGAAGCACCCATTCTTGCCTGTGGCTTGGGCACCTTGCCTGGGTGAGCTCACTTCCTCCCAGACTGTGACTAAGGCAGTAAGCGGGGACAGCGGGTGTTGACCACTTGCTTTGTGGAATCTGGTTCTGCTACTGCAAATACAGTGTGATGCATCTCTTTCACTGACACAGTTCATGAATCTTGCTTCCTTTATGGCTCTAGGACAATTAAAATTAAAAACAGCATGTGACAACATGAAGGCAAAAAAGGCAAATGAAAAAAAAAAAAGACCTCCATCATGATTCCTGCAAGAGCTACACCTAAATACTTCTCCGTCTTCTTGTGGCTTTTTCACATGGGTGCAAGGAAAGTAGGCTCAATTATAGGACTCTAAGAGAGCCCTCTGCCAGAGCAGTGAACTTTTAGGTCACAGCACCTCTTTTTAGGAAGCTAGAGAGAATGTTGAAAGCAAATACTGATCTTTGCTTACCTGGCATGTAACTGATAGCTTTGCCTGGAAAGTCCCCTCTAGAATACTATCAGAATCACCTTTTTGAGTTTAGTTAAAAATAGAGTAGAGCCACTTCGGTATTAGGACTCCTACCCTTATTCCAGTTCAATTGTTTTATTTCATGCCCTAATTTTTGGGTTTGTAGCCATGGAAATCTATACCTGAAACAGCAAAACCTTTCAAAATGTCCACTAGACCAGAACTGCTGATATTTTAATGTGCATACAAAACACCTGGAAACCTTGTTAAAATGCAGATTTGGGTTCAGGAGGTCTGGGATGGGGCCTGAGCTTCTAATTTCCAGCCAGCTCCTAGGTGATGCCCATATTGTTGATCCAGGGACGATACTTGAGAGTAGCAAGCTCTAGGCTCTTTCTAGATGTGAGCTTCTTGAGAGAAAGAGCCATCTTAATCATCTTTATGTCTCCTGAACTGTGTAATGATATGATAATAGTGCCTGGTACGGGGTGGATGTTACAAAATATTTGTTAAATGAGAAAGAGAGAGATTCAGACAGAGACAGACAGACACAGACACACACACACACACACAGAACAGTTAGTGCATGGTTTAGATTTAGATTTGAATTGAATCCTGGCTCAGTCAATAGATCTTGTATGATCTCATGCTTTGAGCCTTAGTTCCATCCCTGTGAGACAGGAATAATAATAATAATTGACCTCATGGGATCGTTGGGGAATATTAAATGCAATACTGTTCTACTGTTTGTAGGTTAAGAATTCAGGTTCTGCATCAGGTTCAAATCCTGGCTCAGCACTTAATTTTTAGCAATGCAACTTTGGTCAAGTCACTTAATTTTTCTAAAATGGAGCTAATAATAGTCCTGACCACATGTAAGTATTGTGAAAAGAGATGAGAAAATCCATGTAAAGTACTTGGCAGAGTGTCTGGCAATAGTAAGCCTTTTAGGATGCAAAAAGTCTGTATCAGTAATAGTGCAACTCTCTTTCTTTGGGAAGCACTTCTGTGTTCTCCACCCCAAGGAATAACAATATCGATTTAGCTTTTGGATGGTTGCTGGTTATTGTTACCTTAAAGCTGTTGAAATACTAAAGTTGTCGAAACATTAGTAGATTACCCTAGCTGTATCCATGCAAATCTTCGTGTATGTTGTCTACTGTTCTCATCTCTATGTAGAGTTAGTGTTGTTGTGACCCCAGAAGCATCTAACCAAACTTGAGGGTCTGTCAGTTAAGATTTTTCTTGAAAGGATCTGGGGCAGCTCTTGTCACCATACCCTCACCAGCCTTTGTTTGCTTATTTTGGTCCCTGTGTATCTTTCAGAATTTATGTACTAAATTTGTATCACTTGGAAGGACCTTGAAAATGTAATATCTTTTCTACCTGTTAAGGAAGAAGTTTTCTACCACTTCTTCCTATCTTCAGTTTTCATGTCAGAAAATTCTTTCCTTGCTTTAATGGCTCCTGTTCCAATTAAAGTCTGTTTTCTTTTCAGTAGAGTTTACCCATCAAGTAGGTCTTTGTTTACCTCCCAGTGTTCTCTTCATTAAAAAAAATTTTTTTTTAATTCAAGTAAAGTTAACATACAATGTTATATTAGTTTTGGGTGTGCAATATAGTGATTCAGCAGTTCTTCAGCAATTCTATACATTACGCTATACATATACATTACACACTCATCAAGATAAGTGTGCTCTTAATCCCCATCCCATATTCCCCCATCCCTCCAGCCCCCTCCACTCTGGGAACCATCAGTTTGTTCTCTATAATTAAGAATCTGTTTTTTGTCTCTTTTTCTCTTTCCTTTTTTTTTTTTTTAAGATTTTATTTATTTATTTGACAGAGAGAGACAGCTAGAGAGGGAACACAAGCAGGGGGAGTGGGAGAGGGAGATCTTTTTTTCCTTATTTACTTGTTTTGTTTCTTAAATTCTACATATGAGTAAAATCGTACAGTATTTATCTTTCTCTGACTGACATTGTACTTGGCATAGTACCCTCTAGGTCCATCCATGTTGTTGCAAATGGCAAGATTTCATTCTTTTTTGTGGCTGAGTAATACTACATTGTATGTCTGTACCTCGTCTTCTTTATCCATTTATCTATGGATAGACGCTTGGGTTCCTTCCATAATTTGGCTATTATAAATAATGCTGCAGTAGACATAGGGGTGCATGTATCTTTTCACATTAGTGTTTTTGTGGTCTTTGGGTAAATACCCAGTAGTGGGATTACTGGATCATATGGTAATTCTATTTTTAATTTTTTGAGGAACCTCCAGACTGTTTTCCAGTGGCTGCATGCACCAGTTTGCATTCCCACCAATAACTCACAAGCGTTCCTTTATCTCCACGTATTGTTTCTTGTGTTTTTGATGTTAGCCATTCTGACAGGTGTGAGGTGATATCTGATTGTGGTTTTGATTTGCATTTCCCTGATGATGAGTGATGCTGAGCATCTTTTCACATGTCTGTTGGCCATCTGGATCAGTCTTCTCTTTAAATGCCTTCCACTTCTTTCATTCTTTCATGTTTTCCAATCTCTTTGTTACTTGCTTCTTTCCTCCTATTCTCTTTTCCTTTTCCTTTTTAGTAGAGTGTTAGGATTTCAGGGAAAGAACTAGCAAAGGTCATTCAAGTTCAAGCGCTTGTTTCTTTTGTGTTATGAATCCTCAAATGAAACACTATAATCTAGTAAGAACCTGATTGGTAGAGATTACAATAGGAAGATTATCTTCCTATCATACAACCCATCCTTAATTGGATTGTTGTTGTTGTTGATTTATTTTTG